CAGCAGGAACCTTGAGCGGGGCTGAGGAGGGGACTGTGGACTAGAGGTCGGTGTTGGCCTAAGGTGGTTTTAACGTGCAAAGACCGTCTGCCTGGGACCCTGGCTGCGGGGGGAAGCAGGGAGGGGTAGGGTGTGGACCCCTGGTACAGCTGTCCTGACGGCTGGGGGAGGGCCTCACCAGGAGGGCCAGCCTGGTCTGTGACTACCATTTTGGCATTAGGAGCCTCATCTGTGAACCAGATTGGTGGGAGGGTCCTATGGCTCACAGACTGAGAAGTTCTTCCAGTATGAATTGAAAAGTTTATTTCACCCCGAAGCCCTAGCATTTTCTTCCTCTGATGCCTTTGACCCAAAGTTGCCTCTTCTAGGAAGTCTTCCCTGATTAGTGTTGTCTCCGAACTACTCAGCATCTCTGCAGCACCCAGGGTTGTGGGTCCATTCGGAAGCTGAGTTGAGCCCAGCTCCGTACATGTGACTGTCCTGGTGCAGAAAAGTGCAAGACACAGCAGCCCTGGCCTCTTGGTGGGGAGGGGAAGCCCGAGGAGACAGGCAGGCTGTTAGCACAGGAGCCAGTGGGGCGGGGCGAGGGCCGGAGTGCAGCGTGTCAGTTGTGCACCTTGGCCAAAGCTCACTTGCTGGCCCGGTGCCATGTGTGTCGCCCCTAATGGAGTGAGGCAGTGAGGGAAGGGCTCCAGGCAGTGGACCGGCAAACGCAGACAGTCCGAGGCAGGTTCGGATGGCACAGCGGCAGCAGGAAGGCCTGGAGGAGCTCAGCAGGGGGAGGAGAAGTGGGCCAGCGTGGCGGTGATGGGGGGAGAGCACCGAGTTGGCTGACAGGCCTCACAGGCCGCAGAACAGGCCTCGCTTTTAGTCGAAGGGAGGCAGGCGGTCTTGTGCAGGGTCTGCAGTGCGTGGTGGGGGGGTCTGACTGCCATGTGCAGGCTCAGGCTGTCAAACGCACCAGAGATGTGGGACTGGGCAGTGCCGAGGACGTCTTCTGGAGCCCTCATGGGAAGCCCAGGGAGCGCCCTGGCTGGAGGAAGAGGGGTCTGGGGACAGGCCTAAGAAAGCACAGAGAGCAGCCTTTCTCCCTGCCAGTCACTTCTGGTCCCAGAAGACACTTGGTAACGTGCCCCACCTGGCCCTTGGGTGCCTGAGCAAGACCCCACATGCAGGTGGCCAGGGTGCGTGGTCAGCCCCACAGAGGGGCCAGGCTGGGCCCTGCATCTTCCGGCCTCTGGCTTCATCGTGTTGACTATCTGGGGAGTCGTCCCTGTGGACACTGGGCTCCCCCATCCGTCATGGCTGTGACCCGGCACTGGGTCCCATCCACGTCCCTCACAGCTGTGAGGCACCCCGCTCGTTAGTGCTGAGAACCCAGCTGGTATGCCATGTCTTCCGCAGAGGGGATTAGGCCGAGGTCTTGCCTGAGTTCGGTGCCTCCACCAGACTCGAACCCTTGGCCTCCCAAGGCCTCTTTCCCCACTCCACCCCGTGGCAGGGGGCCTCCCACAGCACAGGGCCTTGGGCCTCCACTGAGCCCCACCCGCTATGGCTTCTCTCCCCAGGCACAGGCTTGCTGCAGGAGGTGGTCTACTTGGTGAGCCAGGGGGCCGACCCTGACGAGATCGGCCTGATGAACATCGACGAGCAGGTCCCGGTCTTGGAGTACCCGCAGCCAGGCCTGGACATCATCAAGGTACCCTGGGCAGCGCCCCGCACCTCTCTAGCCGGCTGTTCCTGCAGGTGCACTGACAGGGAACTCACGGGGCTCTGGGCAGAGGCAGAGTGCAGGGCTTCCAGACAGCCAGGATGGAGGAGCCCAGGCCCGAGCACAGTGTCAGGGAGCCTGTGAGGTGCCTGGGAGGGGAGGGGCTGAGGGGCTGAGGGACCACCCGTGGGGAGCAGGCGCTGGGCTTAACTCCTGTGTTGAGAGACCGGGGAGACACGTTTGCAGCAGATATTAGGTATCAAGAATAAAATAAGTATTTTCCCAAAGTCCTGTCCCTTCGACACATCTGGTGTGTGCACACACACGCCCCTCTCTACTTCAGCCCCCGTTCCCAGCTCCGCCCACAGCAGCAGCTGGCCTCGCCTGTCCGTCCGCAGGCCGAGCATCGGGTGAGAGCTCTGCGAGGCCCACCTCACCCCCTGATGGCAGAAGGCCCTCTGTGGCTCTCACAGTGCAGCCCAAGTACTGTGCCAGCCATTCTGGGCACACCAGCTCCTCGCACCCCTGCCTGGCTGGCATACCCTCCCTGGTTGTGCCCCTGTACGCCTGGCACTGGGGCACAGCAGGGACCCGACAGCTGCCCTCACGGCCTCACCGAACAGCAGGTTGAAGGAGTTAGATGGCAATCAGCATGAGGGGAGAAGGGTCGCCTCTGGGTGGAGACCTCTGAAGAAGGTTCTGGAAGAGGAGAGGAGCAGAGGGACTGGCAAGCACAATGATCCCAGGGCCCACGGGCCTGGCTTGATCAGGAGCAGTGAGCAGGCCTCGGGGCTATGGTGCAGCAGCCAGGTTTGGGCTTTTTCCTAGGGAGCCGAGGATGTCTGAGGGCTGCGCTGGCTGCCACGCGGAGGGTCTGGGCGCAGCGTGGAGGCTGGGAGAGCACTGGGCTGGGCCACTGCGGTAGCCCAGCTGGCGCCCAGGCCTGAACTCGTTCTTCTTCCACACCCTTCAGGCCCATCTCAGCGCCCTTCCTGTGGCTCCCAGGCCCCCTGAGCGGCCTTCTCTTCCCTAACCCCAGGGCCCAGCTTGCAGGGGATGGGGCTCAGACTTGTCTCAGCGGGGAGGCTGGGCAGGTGCTGATGGTCCTGGCCCAGTTGGGGAGCCTCTCCCCAGCTCCCACTAGAAAGGCCCTGAGAGGAGTCCGTGGAGTAACCGCCATGTCTCCTCTGAGCCTTTCCCTCTGACCGGGCAGGAACTGACATCTCCCCGTCTCATCAAGAGCCACCTCCCCTACCGCTTCCTGCCCTCTGACCTCCACAACGGCGACTCTAAGGTAAGCCCCAGCCCTGCACCTGCTCCACCTCCCTGCCTTGATGAATCCCCACCTAGAACTGAGGCCCACGGCTACCACGGCCACGGCAGCTGGGCCAGGCTCTCTTCCCGGAGAACTCGAACACGCAGAGATCCTTTCCAGGCCATGCGTGTCTGCCATGTCATCCACACCCTCAGCCCTGGTCTTTCCCCCACAGGCAAGCACATGTGTGACTAGCTGGAGCCCACCACGTGTTTGCATGTAGCACAGGCCACCCACCACTTAGGGTTTCTTCCCCCCTTAACTTTTTGCCATAGGATGCATGCACTTGCTGCGGGGGGTGGCGGGGTGAGGACTCGGTCTTCTTCCCTTGACGGATGGCCATGACACAATCCCTTTTCCTCCATTCTCCTCTCAGGATTTTGGGTGTGCATGCACACATGCCTGGTGTGATTTTCTTCTCTCTCTCTCTCTCTTTTATGGAGATATTTGCTATAGGGCATTGTGCTCACCAGAGAGATAGAAAGCGAGAAACCACCCTCCAGGGGATGACCACATTGTAATCTCTTCTCCATTCTCCTTGGGATCTTGGGCATGTACTCACATGTGGCCGGCATGAGTTTTAAGCCTCTGGGCCTAGGACTCGAACAACTACGTTCCCACGTAGTTGTCCAGCAACATAACCATTATTCCATCTGCGGGTCCCGCCTGATGTGATTTTCAAGCCACTGGATCTGGGACTTGAACCATACTCGGCCATGTGGGAGTCTAGCACCTTAACCACCATGCCACTTGTTGGCCCCAAATAGCTTAGTTTTTCTTAACTGTGTTGAACATTATGAGGCCCCTAGTTCTCATCACCATGACCAGGATCCTTCGTTCCTGTGTTCCAGTTTCACAGTAGCTGTGGAGGACAGAACTGCCATCCGTGCTCCGGGCCGGTGCTGGCCAGCACTATGGTCACTGCTGGCCTGGAGCACAGGCCTGGACAGCCCCGTGCTGGATCTGGGTTCGGTGCTGGCAGCTGGGAGCAGGTGGCCATGTGCGCGAGCAGGCTTAGGTGAGGGGACGGAGATGCCAACTCACGTGTCTGCCGCCCGCAGGTCATCTACATGGCTCGCAACCCCAAGGACCTGGTGGTGTCCTACTACCAGTTCCACCGCTCCCTGCGGACCATGAGCTACCGGGGCACTTTCCAGGAGTTCTGCCGGAGATTCATGAATGACAAGCGTAAGTGTTGTGCCTACGCGGTGTGTTAGGATGGCAGCGATCGGCTGTTCACAGGCGGCCTGACCTTTGCTGGGCTCCTCAGCCACGCCACTTCCGGCTCTGACAGTCACTGGACAGGTTAGACCTGCATTCCCATTTACGGATGACAGCGCCGAGCCCAAGGGTCTGAGAAGCTTGTCTGAGATCGTAGGGCTGCTGCCTGGCAGGGCAGCCCGCTCTCCCCAAGCCTCTCACCCCACCGTTGGGCCTCATGAGAAGTTCCCTGATCGACACAGCCCTCCTTCCAGCCTGGTTCTGAACAAGGTGGGAGGGAAAACATGAAAACAGACGCAAGTGTCACTGCTTTCAGTGATGACGGAAGCTGGAAGTGTGACAGTCACATGGGCCCTTGACCGGACTTTAGGGGCAGGCAGGTGACCTTCAGGGGCAGCACCCACGTGTGGAGGGGCAGTGCCCTGTTCAAGCCCATGCCCACGGGGAGAAGGGTGAGTGGGAGCCGAGGCTCTTTCCCGGCCCTAGAGGAGCCTCAAGCCTGGGCCACTCTAGTGCACTGCCCTTCAGGGACGTGGGCGTGAACGGGAGGGAGCAGCCCCGCTCTCTTCCCACTGGACCTCCTGTCCCCTCCGGAGCAGCAGCAGGTTAGGACGGGGCATGGCAGAGGTCTAGGACCAAAGTGCCCCCCATCACCATGGAAGCTGGGACAACTGGCCCACGGCTGCCCCCAGTGGGTGGAAGAGGAGACCCTCTGCCGGGACACACACAGACCCAGCTGTGTGACTGACGGCCCCACAGAGCCTGCCCCTCCAGGGTGATTCTCTTTCTTTTCTTGAGTCTTTGCTCAGCTGCACCTGCTCAGGGTGGGGCGCTGCCTGTATGGGCCAAGGCCGTGGCACATGTGTCCCCGGGCCACTCGCCCCTGCTGGAGGCCCTCGCTGCAGCCCCCTCTGTAGCTTGCCTGCACCTGGAGCATCCCCACCCTGTGCCAGGTGTCCAGAACAGCCACCCCTCTGGTCCCCAAAGCCGATTCCTTATGGCCCGGCGGAAGCCACCGCCAGCAGGAGCCCGCCCACCTTAGGCCGTGCGGAGGGGCTCAGGCCAGAGCAGTTCAAGGTCATCCTAATGGAGGTCTCTGTTTCATCCCGGTCACAGCACTGCCCGCCCCTGAGTCCACGGCCATACACACTTGCCAGGGTCCCACCAAAGCCAGTTGACACACCGCTGAGCTTCCCGGGATGCGCCTTATGTGCTCACCCAGTGACCCCACGATCCTCCTGTGATCCCGGATTGGGAGGCTCCGAGAGGTTGGGAGTTGGTGTGCACGGGGAGCAGGGTAGCAGGTGCGGCTGTCCTCATAGACTGGGGTCAGGCCTGCGTTGTGTGAGCAGGGTGCTGCACAAGGGTCCCATGGCCTGAGCCACTCCAACGAGGGGCCTGGGGCTGCCCTGGCCAGGTAACGTGCTGTGTGGGGACACCAGGGAGGGGCTGTCTGTGATGCGGGCCACATGCGGGTGACATGTGCTTGTGGAAGGCTCGTTCCACGGGGGCTCCTCGGGTGGGGCTGAGGTGGAGCTTCTCAGCCCAGGACTCCCTGGTCAGCCCGTTGGCTCGCTCAGACCCGTGCACTGGGAAGGGCTAGAGGCCCTGGTCTCCTCGCGTGGAGGCGTGGGAGCGTGATGTGAGCCCCCAGGGCGCAGGGGCTGGGTGCATGTGCTCTCCCCTACGTGTTAGGCATGCCTGCCCTTCCCATGGCCCTGACCATCTCCCCGTGCAAACCCACGGCTGTCTGGGAACCTCAGCTGTGTCTCGGAGTGAAGAGAGATCTGTCCTTGCCTTCCTCTTCCCGAAAGCCATTTGGCTTTCCTTCTGTCCTAGGGTGTAGCCCACCTGGACCGAGTCCAGCTGGGCAGGCACTGAGTCAGTCTGCTTGGGCGCCCGTCTGGGCCACATGACTACAAATCTCTTGGTGACTTGGGTCCCCAGGACGCAGGGTTTTTCTCCGTCAAAGGAGCAGGTTGGTGCAGCGAGTTTTAAGGGTTGCCTGTGTGTCCATCCAAGAGTGATGGGTTTTGCTGGAGCACAAGTGCAGCTCCTGCCAGTGGGGAGCCCGTGGAGGCCTGGAGGCCAGGGCGCCACAGGGGGACCTCCTGGGCCCTGCTCTCCTACCAAGCCAGCTAGGTAGCTCATGCTAGCCCTCTGTCCCTGTGCTCGTCCCTCTGGGTCTTCCCAGCGACTGCCGAGAGGATAAACCAGAGGGTCCTGCGGAGACCCCCTGGCAGGCTGCACAGATAGCACATCCCGAGGCCTTCACCTTGACGGGCAGGTCTCGGAGGGGTGTAGACACAGAGCGGGGCGGGGTGAGGGCTTTCTCACGACTAGCAGAGTGGGGAGAGGCAGTGCCCGCTTGCCTGGGGTGGCAGCCAGGCCGAGAGGTGACGCTCCTGCCCGCCTCTCAGGGAGTCGGGCTGGGGGAGCAGCCTGGCGCGTGTCTCTCTTGCCCTGCCCACTCACCTGTTCCCTGTCTCCGCAGTGGGCTACGGCTCTTGGTTTGAGCACGTGCAGGAGTTCTGGGAGCACCGCATGGACTCGAACGTGCTCTTCCTCAAGTACGAAGACATGCACCGGGTGAGTGCATGGGCCGCTGCCCGCGGTGTGGGGCCGTGGCCAAGCAGCACCTGATGCTGGAGCGTGTATGCAGAGGCTGGGCACCACC